ATCAATGGTGACAAATGGGCATCCGTACGACGAAGGTAAAAGTGAAGGGAGGCAACAACTTGTGTCAGTGTGAGGCTCAGAGCGTTGCGGATGTTCTGCGAGAGCACCTCGTTAAAGAACGATGGCGACAGAAGACACAACAGCGTGGGGGATCGCACAAAGAGCTCTGGCCGCTTGGAGCGCCACGCATCCAGCGCCATCATGTTCACAGAAGGCTCCTGAGAAGAATGTTCCTTCTGTTTGCCCGCCGCGGCTCCATTCCATGACGCCTCCGGGGGAATTTCGCACGAAAAACTGCAAATAATACGATGAACGACGCGGCGGGCAAACGAAGCCCGCAGCGGAGCATCCCGGAGAAGCACACGAATGGTGTCCTGCAGAGCCACAGCAACCATCAGACGCAGTTCATCTGCGTAAAGAAGTGCCTTACGCGCGTGCTCGTGATCGCTGTCTGGTGCAGTGGCAATACTTGTCGCACGGTGTATCATCAAGTCGGTGTGGTCCACAAGCACCAGACTGACATTCAGGAAATGAAGAAGCGAACTCTCCAGGAGGTTCATGTTGACGCTATCCGGATCTGTTTGCCGCGTATCCGCATGTAGTTGACGTTCTGCCAGGCGCGCTTCTGCATCCTGGCTACGGTGCTCACTCCATTGCGCTGCATCTCCTCCTTCCTCCTCCACATCTTCCTCACATCCACAACGACCATGTTGTTGTTGTTGTTGCTGCCGCCGCTGCCGCACACCGTCACGCATCTCGCTGTCCCCGTGCATGCGAAATCGATGAAAGACATGCACAGTAAGGGCAAGGAGATGCAGATACAGACACAATGAGCGCATGTATTCAAAGACGCCGTGCTCCGCCGAGTTGAATGCCTCCATCTCCACGCCCTCATTTATATGGGACAAGGACGTCATGACGGACTGACGATCCGCAGGCGTGAGAAACCACCCCGCTACGTCAGTCGCATATGCACAGCTTACCGGGAGACGCCGTCGCTGATAAATACGTGGGCCCAGTTGATGGGGATTCTGCATAAATCGCATGACATTCATCGCATTCCCATCCATTCTTTGACGCAGGAGAAAGTACTCTCTCGCAATATACGTCGTGAACACCCTGGCAAAGTCTTCCAACCCCGCCTCACCACGTGGTCCACGCGAAAGGTCGGTGAGAATGGTGAAAAGAATATCTAATGAAACTGACGGCTTCCGCTGTTGTTCGTATCGTTGTTGTTTCAGGAGCTGCTCGTAATCACACCGTCCCATCCCACGTGAGTTTTTTCCCTTTTTCTCCACCAACAATCCGCCAATATCGTCATGGGGTGAGATCTCCACGTCACACGCAACGGGAATCACGCCCTGTTTCGCAATTTGTGCCATGACATTCCCACAAGAAGAAAACAGCGGGGTGCCAGAATTCACCGCCGCCCGGCCTTCCCCCAACCGCACGGATGACCGGCGCTGCCGCACCAACAGCAGGAACTCTCGCTG